CATCAACTCATTACATCCTACAATCTCTCCTTGCAGTTCTATCAAATGCCAAAATATATATTCATCCGCAGACCAGCCCGAAATTAAAAGTTGCAAAATAGTCTATAATACCAGCAATAATACCAGCCAGCAATTTCTCCCAATGCACAGGCCTTGTAAACTACTTTGGGATTCCCTGGTGCAGACTGAAAAGCAGTCTATAAATGCCCTCCTAAACAAAAAGAGATCAAACGTATAACTTCAAAGAGGACACTCTGAGCACAGGGAGAGAAATGTTCTTATATGTTGAAATCATGGGAATTAGGAGGAAGTTATACTTGTTTGTTTATGTACATTTTTACCTCTCAATATATAGTTTGACCCATAAGGTCATACAAGTAGTACATCACAGAAGAATGATCTTTAAAGGTGATAATTCCTTATTAAAAAAACAACTGCAAAAATTTACCACAGGGGGGGAAAAATAGCTGGCTATACATCACAATTTTTAAAAAAGAGAGGCCACGAGTATATAGGCTGTGAGCATGTTTTGATGTTACATGCTTATGGAAGGAATCCCGGGAAGACCAAAGATCTCATACTGTGTTGCCCTGTAATTGCAAACATCAGAAACGCCAGGATGCCTACATGTCCAATAATGTAGATGAGTCAGAGATGAATCAGAATTCTTGTCTTCAGGATCAATTGCAACATAGCATGGGAAGTCAAGGGCATGCTGGCATCTCCCTATGAAAGTCTATCTTGAAGTTCAAGAACCACCATTCTAGATTTTTGCTGCACAAAGAAAAGAGTTGCCAGACCTTGCTGCATCAAGGCAACAAACCCAGTCCCAGCATTATTTAAACTTGCACCGTGTTTGTTTCAAGTCATTTGTTTTTAGCTTGGTATCTGCTGAGGTCTTTTGGGGAGGAGTATAATTATTCGTCTTTCCATTCTTGGGATTTGGGCATGTATGGGCTGGTAACCCCTTAAGGGGAACAGTGGATCCATGGAATGAAGAAGGTGGCTTGGGAGGTCTCACGTTGCCAGCTCCATGGATCATGGTGCATTCCTGGATCTCAAAAGAATGCCTACTGGCCAAATGCTGTTTGAGGGCAGGGCACTTTTTGGTCCCACTCTTTGCTTCAGATGGTCTCCTCTGATAGGCTGATGAGCCATGGGTGGGTCCAGTGGTCTTCAACTGACTCTCAGGGGATGTCACCTGGTTGGTTCTTTCCCCATGAAAGTCTTTTTTGAGACCTCCTGCAATGGGTACTCTTGGAAAGTTTCCATGGAGAGTCAACTGTTTATTTGTCAAAGGGCTGTGCGACAATTTGCTTTTGCCAGAATTTTTCAAGGACCGGAGGACGCTAGGAGCAGTCTGAGCCCTAGCTTTGGTTACCTTTCCTTTCTCAGCTTGTACGGTTTGCATTTGCAGCCATTCCAGCTCCAAAAGACGATCCACGTACTTCTCCAGAAACCCAGTCGGTTCCGGTCGGGGTTCCGTTTTGCACTCGGTGTTGATGAATGCAGCCAACCCTTTCAAGTCCCAGGCGTTAAAAGGTGGTGGGAGAAAGTCTGTGTAATGGTAGTCTGGTTGCTTCCGTTGTGTCTCGAAGTCGTGTTCGAAACAAACAGGGTCGATCTCCTCTGCTCGAAGGTTGAGCTCTGGCGGTGTGCAAGGCGAAGGAGGGATAGGAATTCTTTCTGAATCGGAAAGGTCACTGGCATCGTCTTCCTCAGAGTCTTCTTCTTTCATCATTTGCAAAGATCCAAAGTCCAGAAACATTGCCTCAATTGTAGCATCTTGACAGGAAAGACTGCTGGGGCCTGCTTCCTCCATCTGCTCTCCAGAGTTTCTTTCCAATTTTCCTTTTTGTCCGCAATAAAGCCCCTGAACCATCGCATCTTCTGTCCCGCTGGAAGGACTCCATGAGACATCTTTAAATGCAGGAAGAATTTTGTTATCCCCGGCCTCATGATTTTTTCTATCCGGATGTTCTCTTTTCGGCCTTGGTATTCTATGTGAGGAAGTACAAGTGTTTGTCAGGCTAAAAAGGGAAAGAAATAACACTCATGTCAGCTGTAAAATCACCCTGAAACAATATATCTGACTCAACTCTAAGTCACTCGGGAGCCTAACATTACAAAACAGAAAAAGAGAAAACACAAAACACACCAACAATGACAGCAGCAAACATGAGGGGTCCTTGGTGCTCTCTGAGCTTGGTTGTTTTCTTCAACACGTTACCCGAACTAGGCAACATCAGTGGATAATCAGTGATGTCACCTAGTTTGGGTAATGAAATGTCTGCAAGAAAACAGTCAAGCTCAAAGAGCACCAAGGACCCCTCATTTCAACCCTAATATCTTTACAACATTTCATATCACAGTCCCCAATATTTAACACAAAGCTCCTTTTTCTTTTTCAAATTTGCTACCTATTAAGTTTTGCTTTTCAAGTTAAAGACAGAGACACATTACAATCATTTCAATCTTATTTATATAATTCACTAAGCAATCTTGGTCCATTTTTCAGCCTAACCTACTTGCATAGGACTGCTGGAAATACTAAGTGAGAGAATCATCTATAAGTAGTCCTCACTTAATGACCCTAAATGGAACCGGCATTTCCAGTGTTAAGAAAAGCGGTCGTTAGGCAAAACATCCTGGGACTAAGCAGGGGGTTGGACTAGAAGATCTCCGAGGTCCCGAGGGGGAAAATTATTTGATGCCTGTGAAAAACAAATCTACTTCTTATTCCAAAAGTGCAACCATATTAAAAAAAAAAAAGAACTTCACCTGGTTGGGTGATGCCCTTCATAAACTTGCTTTTTCTCTTTGTACTGAGCTGTTATCTGTCTGTCTGCAGCCTCTACAGGAGCCTAGAAGAAATGAATGAACATTTAATTATAATTGCAGTGGTAGGGGAGACATGAACATTTAAGCATAATTTGCATTCAGTAAAAACATAAGTGGGTCTCACCTTTCCTGCAATAGCAGATGTGTTTTTCCCTGGCCTCTTGGAAGAAGGTTTTAGAAATGTTGATTTCTTTAGTTCTTGCGTGCTTGGATGGTTCTTTCCTCCACTGGAACTAGTTGATTAAAAAGAGGAGTTTTTCAAAGATCTTTATTTTAACAGGACAAGTTTACATGTTTATTGTTTGTGTGCCTTAAAATCTCCAATATTTTTCTGGTGATTAGTCTCATAAAAAGCTTATTAAGAAAGATATATATGTAGCATTTTCATTGGAGCAGATCCATTTCTCTTCTTTACTGTAAACTGTGCATTCATATGAATTAAATGCGTGGGCATTGATAGGACACTGGCCATTAGACATTTGCAAAAACTTGTATTTTCTAATCCATAATTAGATCAAAGCCTCTCGCCCTCCTGCTTCAAACAAATGAATATCTGACGTTAAAAAAGAGATTAAAGGAAAGATGGTTATTATTGTCAGTCTCTGAACAATCTTCTATGCAATCTGTTGTACAGGCAGTCCTCGACTTAGGGCCTCAACTGAGCCCCAAATTTCTGTTGCTAAGCGAGACAGTTGTTAAGTGAACTTTGCCCCATTTTACGACCTTCCTTGCCACAGTTGTTAAATGAATCACTGCAATTGTTAAGTTAGTAACACGGCTGTTAAGTGAATCTGGCTTCCCCATTGACTTTGCTTATCAGAAGGTAACAAAATGTGATCACAGGATCCCGAGATACGGCAACCGTCATAAATATGAACCCGTTGCCAAGTGTCCGAATTTTTAACCTGTGATATGGGGATGCCAAGCATGATTGTAAGTCACTTTTTTTCACTGCCATTATAACTTCAAACAGTCACTAAATGAACTGTTGTAAGTTGAGGACTACCTGTACTATTATATAATAATAATAATAATAATAATAATAATAATAATAATAATAATAATAATAATAATAGTAGTAATAATAATAATAATAATAATAATAATAATAATAATAATAATAATAATAATAATAATAATAATAATAATAATAATAATAATAATAAAGTTGGAAGGGATCTTGGAGGTCATCTGGTCCAACCCCCTGCTCAGGCAGGAAACCCTATACCATTTCAGACAAATGGCCGTCCAGTCTCTTCTTAAAAACTTCCAGTGTTGGAGTATAAAGTATAAACCTGTAACTGGGGCATAATTTTGTTTCAATGACAAATATCAGCTCCTGGAACGAACCCAGCCTTTGATTGAATAATTTGTAAGGACTCAATAACTCAGGAACTTCTCTACAAGGCAGGGGTCTTCAAACTTGGCCCTTTTATGACTTGTGGACTTCAACTTCCAGAATTCCTCAGCCAGGCATGCCTGGCTGAGGAATTTTGGGAGTTAAAGTCCACAAGTCATAAAAGGGCCAAGTTTGAAGATCCCTGCTACAAGGCATAGGAGGCCCATGTTACTTGAGAGGCAACCTGACTGTCATAACAATTTGATCCTACAAGATTGGTGCACTCCTGATTCCTTGGATTAAATAAAGTCATCTATCAGGATTCCAATAGAAAAAAAACACCCATTAGATATGCTGGATTCACTGAATGACCATGTGATTTGCTTAACCATCATAAAACAGTTGTTAAAATCAAGCATGGTCAAATGGTGACTTGCTTAACAACTGCCACAACTTACAACCAAAATTCTGGGCTTAATTGTGGTCGTAAGTCAAGAACCACCTGTACAGTATTTATTTTTGTATTTTATTGATTTTATTGTAATTATTTTGTTTCATTCTTGTGAGCCACTGATAATCAAGTGAATACAAGTTTGAGTTATCATCATCATCATCATCATCATCTAACTGTTCTTAGACCTTTTCTGCATTGCATGAGAAAAGCACATCTTCCTTCCCCTGTCCTTACCACTTTCTATAGAGCAGGCTGGATGCGTCATGCCAAAACCGCGCCTACCCTATTGCCGGCAAAAAGGTAGTGATACGTCACGACACGTCACGTGACGTTGTGAGTTTGACAGCCCTGCTATAGAGGGACAATCGAGAGCATCCTGTCATACAGCATTACACTCTGGTTTGGAAGCATCACTGCTTCGGACAGGAAGGCGGTGCAGAGAGTGGTGAGGATGGCAGAAAAGATTATTGGCAGTTCTCTCCCTTCTATCCAGAACATAGCACATAAGCGATGCTTGTGTGGGGTCTGTAGGGTTGTCTGGGACACTACACTACACAGTCTGTTTTCCTTGTTACCTTCTGGGAGGAGGCTTAGTGGTATCCGAAGCAGAACATCCAGATTCAGTCACAGTTTTGTCCATACAGTGTTAACCTTGTGAACTCTAAAGCAGTGGTTCTCAACCTTTTTAATGCCGTGACCCCCCAACCGGTCGTAAGTCGAGGACTTTCCCTGCCCGGGAGCGCCGCACATGCGTGGTTCCGCCCCCTGCAACGGCCGAGGCGTAGCTGGCAAGCGGCAGAGACGGAGGAGGCCGACAACCAGCTGGCCCAGCTCAAGGGAGGTAAGGCACCCACTGGAAAAGGGGAAAAAATGGTGGACAGCCTTGCTTGGCGACCCCCGTGAAATGGTCGATCGACCCCAAATGGGGTCGCAACCCATAGGTTGAGAACCGCTGCTCTAAAGCTTCCTCCTTCCTTTATGTATTCAAGATGGACAGTGATTAATATTTATGTTATTTATATGTAAGGCTGTAGGTGTGCATATATGTTGTATATAGCATGTCTATATATGTGTTATGCGTGTGTACACTTTTGAGAGCAAGTAGAATTTCATTTTTAATGTGTGCCAGTGTGTCCACAGGAAAAAAATGGCAACAAAGGTTATCTTATCTTAATTCTCTTTCTGATCTGGTTTCTGCTAGAAAACCTATTGCAAGTAGGATTCATTTATCCAAATGTTTCCCCATAAAATGCCAAGAGAAAAGCATGAAGGGAAACTTAAGGAGCTTTTTAGGTACTGATTTTGCAGCAGATGCCACCTTGGCTTGTTTAGAAAGCTGAGTGGGGTCAGGATTGATTAGTGCTTGGATGGGAGACCATTAGGAAATACCAGAAATATAGACTATGTTGGGAAGAGTAAGAAAATCCACTTCCATATTAAGCAAAATAAATAAATAAATTCTCAAGTATATATTTTAAATCAAGCCTGACCAGATGATTAATACTTTTTAGTTTAACTTATATTCTGGTATGGGTTTGCAAGGGTAAAAAGATGATTCGCTCACCTTTCTGAGAGTTTAATTTCCAGAATTCCAAGCTCAAATTGCTCAAATTCCAGCATATACAATGGGAAGCCTCAAATTCCAGGAATTTCAATCCAGCAACAAGGAGAAGGCCAGATTCAGAAAGACAGGTTTCCATGCTGGCTGGGGAATTCTGGGCATGGAAGTCCACAGATCTTAAACTTGCCAAGGTTAAAGAAGATTGCTAAATATTAGCTACTGGGATTACCTGGGAGGCATTAATATTGATGCCATTGCTAGTGTCTCAGAAAACGTTCTTCTGTTTTTGCAACCTTCAACATTGCAAAAACCCTTTTAGACCTTAAACCTCATCTGGCAATTTATTCCATAACTTAACACAGGATACCTATGGCTTGTTTCTCTCACGTTCTTCTGAACATGGAGCGGCTATTCCCCTCCGAATACTAACAACATTTCTGCAGAATATACACTTTATCTCAAAATAACCAGCACCGGAAAAAGAAAAAAAGAAAGCGGCATCAATCCCTTAGCAAAAAATTCCCTATTCTCAGCGATTAAAAATAGCCTGGAATGCAAGCATCCATAGAAAACCCTAGAAAGGGATGCTAAGAGGAAATTGTACTGACAACTCAGGATTTCGCCCTTGAACTTCGGGGGGGGAAAAAAACAAGCCATCCACCTGCATGCATCTTCCAAAACGAGGGATCCTTACGTTACCATTCCGCTCCCTTCATAGGTTTCATGAACCAGGTTTTGCAGGCTCCCTCTGCGCAGGGAGACGGGATAACCTCCGATGCTCGGCCCCATTATAGGGGGGGGGGGAGGGAAATGCGCCTTAGTTTTTCTCCGGGTCGTTCCAAACGAGCCAGCCGAAATCAGCGGGCAGAAGCCCCTCGCCGCATTTTAAGAGCCGCGGCAACCCTGGCTCGGGTCTCCGCGCGGCTTCATTCCTCCGCACCGGGAGCTGCGTTTTGCATCGCCGCCGTCGGCTGGCATCCGGAGCAGAAGCCGGTTCCCCGCGGCTTCAGCCAACGCTGGCTCCAGGGATCGCCACCCGCGTCATCCACCGCTACCTGCCGGCCCTCCGGAAGCCGCCGGGACGCGTGCCGGGCCAGCCGAGAAGCCCCGGGACGCGCGCGCGCGCACGCGGGCGGGCGACCTCCCACGACCGTCCCCCGGGGAAGCTTAGCCTTGTCGCTCGCAAAGCATTGTGGGCGGCGGGGAGGCTCGCTTAGCTCCCAGCTGGTTGGGGGAGCGCGCGCGCGGTCTCTCCTGCTTAAGCCTTCATTCGGCTAACCATGGTTTACTGAAGGAGCTGAGCATTGTCGAGGTTGACGCGTGGCCGGGCAGCCTAAAGACAAAGCTCCAAATTTTTTTTTGGGGGGGGGGGGGTTGGGGACCTTGTTGGGGCTGAGAGTGACTGTCATCCAGGGAACTTTGGCAACCAGGATGAACTTTAAACCTGGATCTTCCGAGTTCAAGTCGAGTACTGTAATCATGTAATCCTGGGTGCTTGCTGGGGGCAAGGGATGTCATGTGCCATGTAGTTGGGCAGATGAGGCCATTTGTGGGACTACCGTCTGCTGTCCTAATGGCTTGCACTCAGTTGCTCTCGAGATACCTCTTTCTGGAATGAAGGCAAATATACCTGTCCCAGGATAATGATGTGAGATCCAATTTGGGTCGGTCACTGGGACCAGAGATTTAGTCTTCTGAGTTGCCTCTTTCTGCCTAAATTGGCTGAGTTCATCATGTCCTGTGCTAAATTTTAATTGGAACACAGCCTTTAATATTTGGTTTTTAATTTGGTTTTAGAAGGGTTTTATTTTTGTATATTGTCATTGTATCTGTTTTTAATATGCTGTGCACCGCCCTGTGTCCTGCGGGAGAAGGGCGGTATAGAAATTAAATTAATAATAATAATAATAATAATAAATTATAAACTAACCAGTTTATAAAGGAATTAGCAGTGGACCTTGGCAAAGAGAGGAAGGAGCCTTTAAGAAGGGGACCTGTAAACACAATTATACAGCCCAGAGATTGAACCACATATGAGAAACAAACTCAGAGTAATCCTGCCTTAATTTTATTTTGTATAAGGTGGGACAGAGAGAAACTCTTGAGACACTTTCAAGATTGATGTTGGGAGTTCCAGGAATGCTACTTTATTTTTGTACGTTATAAAAACACAATCTTGTGTTTTATCCAGTCAGATAGTGGGTTTATTCATCAAACTAATTAGAACAGGCATGTCAAACTCATGACGTCACGTGACGTCGCACGATGTATCGGAGCTTTTTTGCCATTGCTGGCAATGGGGTGGGCGTGGTTCCGGTATGATGAAACCGGCCCGCGGGCTGGCAGTTTGACACCCCTGAATTAGAACATCCATAGTAGATATCTTAAGAGACTGATTGTCATCAGAAATACAGTTTTGTGGTCACTAGGAGTCTGACTTCATGGCACATAATCAATGTAAACATCTAACATCCATATTGAGACAATTGGGGTTTAGTGTAATGCTAGTCCTTGTTATGCAAGAACAATTATTAGAATATTCTAATGGGTATTCAAAAATATTGTGTGTGTGGAATATCAACGTTTAGGTGGTTTGTGTCCAAACCTAAATGTGATTTAAGTATTTGGGTCTGTGCATGGAGCAGAACAGGGCTGTTTTGTCAGCATACAGAACTAAATGAGGCTTTTATGGCTAAATGGTTGGGGGAGGGAAGAACAGGGAAAAAGCCAAGGGCATAGGGCCAGAACTGTCCCCTCTACCCCTCAGCAAGTTAGAGTGCCATATCTCACTAGCTGCCCAACTCTGATGTTTCCAGTGCCTTTTTTGTATGCCCACTTTTCCAATGCTTTTCCTTCTCTACTTTTGACCAGGATGCAGGAGCCTTGCAGCCATGTTCTCGGAGGTACTTTCCATTCAGTTTAGGCAAACAACCCCCCCTCCAGAGGCCTGCCTTTCATCTACATAAAAATAGAAACCATATTTTAAGCAGCCATCCACAACCTGCTGTCTTTGAGATGGGTTGGACTGCAGTTTCCTTCATCCTCAACCCACATAGCCATATTTAGGGATTTATACTTAAGCCACACAATCAGCTCCAGGCTGGGGAATATTGGTGTAATAGACTTCTTAGGGATTTCCTGCAATGCACAGGAATTCCCAGCCGTTGGGAGTAATAATGGTAAAACATATTTTGCTTCTGTCTCCTGAAAATGGGAGGAAAATAAATGTTAAACGAATGGTGGATGGCATGATTTACTTTCTGCATGTGAAATTCTCCTCCACCACAAAGGACCACCTTAAAATCTAATTATGATATGATAATAGAAGGGAGCTAGTGAGGCAGAGTCACACAAACTGGAACCTGACTTGAAGCAGTTAATCTGAATGTGTTAACCCCCGTTTAAAACACAGTGCTGTTTTTTAAAAAATCAGTTGGCAAAAGATACTTGGCAGAGAAGCTTAGGATGTCTACCCATTAAAGTGACTAGAGAAGTGAGAAAGTATGTAATAACATAGAACTGAGGGCAATTTGATAAATGGCAGCTCCCTCCAAAGCATGTTTATTGATCAAACTCCTTGGAGCTAAAAAAAAAAAACTTTTACGTCAGTATGCTTCAAAGTGCATCAGTCTGGTAATAAAACACACCAGTACTCTGACTTTCTTCATTCGGCTTCCTTTTCTCTTTTTTTCCTTTTTTGTGACCTTTGTAACCCATAATTGCTCCGCCTGTTTCCTTATTGACGTCTGTCCTTTTTAAATCAGATTCCTCCAGGTAGTGTGGGCAAGACTAAGGGCTTCCTTCGTGCTTGTGCGCAGGCGGGGAGCAGCAGATATGACAGGTGAACGGAGCGACGACGCACAAGGCGGGACAAGGTACTGTAAAAAAGCGGCTGGCTGCAGCGAGGGGCAACGGCGAGGCTTTGGTAGCAGCCCGTGACGTCATCGGGGGCGTGCACGTAGCCCTCCGGTTGCAGCAGCTTCTTCTTTTTTTTTTCCGTCAAGCTCTTTTTGCGCGTCAACTGATCAGCTCCGGAGAGAAAAAGAAAGGAAGCCGCTGCTTGCTCGGCCGCCCGCCCGCCCGCTCCTTCTCGGTGTTGCTTGTTGCTCTGGGACGCCTGGAATTGAACAGGGGTCGCCGCAGAAGAAACCAGCACCGTCCACCCGTGGGGAGGCGGAAAAAAAACAACCCAGAGCTCGGCTGGATGTGGGCTCCAGCGTCTCCCATTACAGACTCCATCTCTAGTTCGTGCCCCAGCTTGACAGCCTCTTCTTCCACCACTATCATCAGCACCATTCAAGCTGACAGCCTCCAAGCTCCCGTCGCTCCTAGGGACAGCCCCCAGACTCCTTCCAGCTTGCCCAGCAGCCTCGATTCCCTCTCGATCCAGCCCAGCCAACTCCAGGCATCTTCCAGTCTGGGCAGTCTTCCGGAGTCTTCCAGCATCCAAAGCGACAGCCTTGAATCCTTTACTGGGCAGCGAGAAAGCCTGGTCAGTTTTCTCCAGGACAGCCTCAATCCCTGGGACAGCCTGGACTCTCTGCGGCTTTATCAAGCCAACTTCCGGTCCATCTTCAGTCTTGGCGACAGTCTTGAGACCTCCAGTATCCAGCTGGACAGCCTGCAATCCGTGGCCAGTTTAGGGGACAACACCCAGGCTTCCAGCCTTCTCACTGATAGCCTTGAGTCCCCCTGCAGCTTGTGTGATAGCCTGGAGACACCCAACGCTCTGGACCGTACAGTGTTTGACTCCAACTTGTAGCAGATTCTTTCAGTCTGTTCTGCCAAAGCCTACACTGATCAGACAAGGACTGTGGGAACCATCGCTCGGCCTTTCACTCGGGGCTTGTTTTCTTCCTTGCTGACCTAATTCTTCTGCACGTCTCAGCAAAAGCGGTTTCTGGCAGCAGTGATGTCCACTCAAACTGTTTGCCCTCAGGAGCCAAAGGTGTTGAGAGCTCCCCGGCGGAGTCCCAGCTGTCTCTCTGATATGTACCAGAACATGTTTCAGGGCGAAGCAACCCAGCTTGTGGAAAAGAAGGGATGCCAACCGTTGCATAGCAGCACCAGCGCCAGCCAATTGACTTCCTATCTGCACCAGAAAACTGAACGTAGAGTTCCTCGGAGCACCACAAGTTGTGACCCACATCTCCGACCCATCATGCGCCGTCGGGCCAGGTCCTTGCCCAGTTCTCCAGAGAGAAGGCGTAGCGGGGTGACTCCCTGTCGTGTTCCGGGTTGCCACACCCGCAAGAACCGTGTCAGGTTTGCAGATGCTTTGGGCCTGGAGCTGGCAGAAGTGAAAGTTTTCCAAGCTGGGGAAGATCCATCTATCCCACTTCATGTTCTTTCTCGGCTGTCCATTAATTCGGATCTCTGTTGCAGCAAGCTGGACCTGGAATTCACCATGCAGTGCCTGGTACCTGACTTCCAGCAGCCGGGAGATTGTGAAGACTTCCTCAGCCGCCTGCAGCAGCAGCAGGTGTGTTTGGAACGAGTGTCCAGCTCAGATCTGGGCCTGAATGGCACAATCAGAGTGATCAATTTAGCCTTTGAGAAACAGGTGACTGTGCGCTATACTTTTAATCACTGGAAGGGGCAGCATGAAATAAATGCTCAGTGGCACAGCAGTGTTGCTGGTCAGGATGGTGAGTCTCAAGTGGACAATTTCACCTTCTTCCTTCCTATGCCCCCATTCCTTCTTCAGCTTAGCTCAGTAATTGAGTTTGCAATCTTATACCGAGTCAACGGACAGGAATACTGGGATAACAACCAGGACAAGAATTACACCCTCACTTGTAGGAATCATCCGCTTAAGATGCCCAGAGAATGTGAAGAGAGCTGGATTCATTTCATCTAAAAGCAAAACAAAGGGGTCTGCATTCGTTTGACCTTCCCCCCCCCCCCCACGCTGAGGCACCAAAGAAACTCTTCGACATGGCAAAGATCCTTCAGAATAAAAGAATAACAAGTGATCTGCACAAAAGCTATTTTGAGAAGCTGTTGTTTTTCTGAAAAAGATAAGGATAAAGGGCCTTAATTTGCAGTGATTTGCACTAAATTAACTTGAAATGTTTGGGAATCATAGCCCAAAGATACAATCATTAGAAGGAACCTAATGTATTTTATTCCTTTGATTAATTCTTATAATGTTCTGATTGTGCAGTATTTTAAAACATACTGTACTTGATGCTCTGTAGTTTTGCACTTCACTTTTTGCACTTTTTACAAAATTGTCTTTGGTGGAACTTAAGCATATTTCTGTTAATTTCTAGAAGGAGAAAATGTTACACTTTTCTAATGCACTGGTCAAATGCTGCAGGGCTGGGGATGGCAAAATTTAACTATTTAAATAAAAATGAAAATTTACACTGCAGTTTATAAGGCTTATATGACAGTGTTCTTATACATTTGGCATTAGTCCCTGAATGTTCCTGTTTTAGAGCACTTTTTGTTATTAGAAGAGAAAATGCAGTTTGCGTTTTGGAGAAGTTTATTTTTTATGTTATTTTATTTTATTTTAGCCTTCCAGGTCAAAGTAAGTTCATGCCACTATAGTTTAATGAACTACAGTATAGCCAATTACAGGGATGTTTGAGTTAGACTATGTAGGCTGCAGCCAATCTTAGATTGTCTTACATTCATTTCTAAGCAAGAGTGGGATACAAATATAAGAAGCAGACATCAAAAAATCACTTATTTTTTGTGCCAAGAAAACTTCATGGATGTATGTACATACAGAGAGTCACAGGCATTTTAATTTTTTTTTTACAGTTAACATACTGAATCACACTTTTTTGAATATGAAATTGTTTGATTTGTTGACAACTTGAGTGCCAGGATTTTCTTTGAGAAGAAATGAGAATGCTTCTTTGCATATATAATTAATATGGGTTATATTTTATCAGCCTTGGGCATTGCAGTATAACTGCCTAGTTTCGGAACAAAACAGCAGTGAAATATGCTAGATTTCTATAGATCATATGAGATGTTGGCACCTTTAAAAAATATTTACAAGGAGTAAATTATGTCAAGCATTACCAGTTCCTGGGATACAGCTACATGTGCAGTTAAGGATTGAGTTCCATGTTGTTTCTGTCACCATTTGCATGCATACATGTTTGGGAGATTGATGTCACTGCCATGGATTGAGATTGTCTGCATATGCCATTAAGTCTGTAAGGAATGCTTCTACTTATTCATGCATCTTGGGAAAGAGCTCCTGGTGATGTGGTAAAGTTAGCAATGAGTGTGGTTTGTGTATACTAAGCTAAGAATCATTCTAATATATGAAAGCAACTGATGAGAGATGAACTTGTGATTGTCAATGGACCTGAAGTCTTTTAAAATCAGAGGTCTAGTTTACATTCATTAGTTCAGGATGAATCACCTTGTGCAGTGAACTGTGATGGAATACAGTACAAGTCTTTCTGTTCTTAATCTCTTCCCTGCCCTTTTTATGGCATGATTTTGGAGTTCTGTAGCAAGCAGCCTTAGACCGAGTCCACCTGGCTTGGATCAGTGTCTAAGACGGGGCAGATAAAGATTGCAGCTCTACTCCATGTATGACCTTCAAACTAATTTCTTGCAAACCCCCAGACTAATTTCAAAACTTGCTGCAAGAGATTGGTTCAAATAAGGACCATCTTGCCTTTCCCGTTGGTTTACTACTTGAGAAAGAAAAATGGAAGTGTCAGAAGGAAAACATATTTGAGAGGTTAAAGAACGAGACTAGGGGTCTCCAAACTTGGCAACTTGAAGACTTGTGGACCTCAACTCTCAGAATTCCCCAGCCAGCATGGCTGGTTGAGGAATTCTGGGAGCTGAAATCCACAAGTCTTAAAAGTTGCTGAGTTTGGAGACCCCTGAAATAGACAATCCCATCCATTTGGGGTTCTGACTACATCCGGCATCATCCACTCAGTGGCTCCCAATAGTTTGTCCAGGATATAAATCTGGTCGTTTACACAAGGTTTCCCAGCAGAGTTTCCCCCCCTCCCTTCAATGTGTAAATTATAACACACACACACACACACACACACATTCATTTTCACCCTCTCCCCGTATGGTTTAGGGGTTTTTTTTGCTTTGTTTGCTCATGGTGTAGGGATGATAAATGTACTTGGTTTCTGATTACCTGCATTTTGGACTGATACTGTGCCTTGAATAACTTTCGGACTGCTATATCACAGTACATTCTGGCCAAGCATGCTTTGTATCTCATAGGAGCTGGAAGGGATCCCAGTGCCAGAGTAGAAACTCATGTCAGCCCCCTATTCACTAACAAGAACTTCTATATAAGAGGTTGTCTCAAGGGACCATTCTTTCGAGTGGGAAGTTCCTTTGAAATGCCTGAATAGTGGGTAATGGAAAAATCTATTTCCTTTACGGTTGACCAAGCCAAGAAGTGTATCTAGATCTCTTGTTTATTAAGCAGAAAGTAGACTGGGTGCTTCAAACAAATCTCTATGGATGTCATTAGAAATATTGTGCAGTGGATTTGTTTTTTCAACTTGGTTTCTTGGGTGGGTAGAAAGTAGGTTTCATGAAATTGTAAAGAACACACAGACACATCTTTGAGGTGGGGCCAAAGGGAACCCCCTCCCCCTTCAATAGCCTAAAATAAATGCCAGTAGCTACACAACAGTTGCTGGCTGGGGAATTCTGGGAGTGGAAGTCCACCCATCTCGGTTTTGAAAAATGCTATTGTAGAAAGCTAACTGGTTGTGTTCAGGAAGGGTGAAAAATGAGAAGGTGGAATGAAATAGAATATTCTAGAAGAGGGCATGGAAAGGTTGGCTAGATAGAATTCCAAACAGCAACTCTTAACAACCTAATTTTTCATATTTCTGAGTCTTGTGTGGCCATTATAACTCTTTAAGATGTGTTGATGTTGGACTAAGTTCTGATTTCTAGGTGTATGTTTGTCACTGAGGAAGGGTGGTTAGGCAACCTCTGAAAATGTGTTATAATAACAGAAAAGCTGCATTATTGTCAGAACAAAGTAACAGATTTGTCCAGTTTCAAATATGTTAGGATTACAGCTACAATTTTCAGCCAGGGTGGCCATTGATCCCTACAGAGATAATTTATTTTCCTTGACATTATTTGTTCCCCCCCCCCCCATTATGTCCTTATCATTATCTCTCCTGATTGAGAAACCTGCAGTTTTAGCCATAATGTATCTTGGAAGATAAAAGCAACAGGCCAATACATAGTGCTGTCAGTGTTGTGTGACTGCTAGGACAGGTCATTACAGTTTCTGTGTTCATTTTTGCAGGTAGATAATTTTGCACACTTTATTTTTTTGCATGTGATTAAATGACTGAAGAAAAATAGTTTCCAGAATTCTAAATCAGGCTGTACAGCATCCTAAGCAATCAATTACACTTCAGAAAAGACATTGCATAGTTTTTTTATCCTTATTTTGTGCTATAAAGTTTAAAAAATATTATTGTATGTTGTATTACAGGTATAGTTTCATGATGGCAAGAAAAATAGAATTTGCAGCTTATAGGCCAGCCTTGCTCAATCCTATATCCTCTAAATCAGAAGGATTGAAATGTCCATAATTTGTCATGGTGCCTGGCAATTAAAGGAATACAGCTTCAAACAAATCTGTTCTAAGCTTTTATTCTGAATTGTTTGCGATAAGCAGTTTGTGGATTGTTGTCAGTATTCAAGCCGCTCCTATTTTTCTGCCAGCATCTGAATCTATAGAAGATAAAATGTTAAGCATAAAAAAATCAATATATTTTTAATGAAGAAAAGCTTACTTTCTACAACATTCATTTGGGTTGCACTGATGAGCTGTAACTTCTTAACAATTTGGTCTCTTCCTTCTTTTTCCGTTTTTGTGATTCATGTTACCATATTTGCCCTTTTGCTTTTGAGTATTTAGTAAACTTGCTTTATAAGTATTCTTTGGACATTTATCAGAATCAGGAAACCAAACAAAAAGAATTAAGTACCGTGCTTCACTCTGTATTTTATATACAGATTCAGATCATTTTGAGACAAATAGGCTTTGCAGAGCCCATGTTGAAACTTAATATCGTTTAACTTCTAATTGTATAAATAAGTTAAGTCCATATATATCCTTGTGTTTTGGAGTGTGACACAAATGATTATTACAGAATGACTAAATGTGCTACAGTATTTCCAGGTGCAAGCTTTTAGAAAGCAAACACATTATTTTTCTATAATCACAGAATTTTAATATTGAAATAAAGAAGCAATGGGTAGGCAGGTCAGCGGCATATGTTTCCTAACGTGTTATATAATAATGGCCATATAGATGTCAGATTATATATAAAATATATGTATATATGCTGTATTATGTTTCCATCCTTTCATAATACATACTACAATGGACTTGAAATTTTACAAGGGCATCTGGAAAATATCTGTGAAATATATATATATTTCTTCTGGAAACAATACAGGTAGTCCTTGACTTACAATCATTCATTTAGTGAAGTTATAACAGCACTGAAAAAAGTGACTTTAGATAAGTCCTCACACTTATGACCGTTGTAGCATCCCCCACAGTGATGAAATCAAAATTTGGGTGCTTGGCACCCAGCTGTAACATCCTTGGGTCACATGCTTGCCATTTGTGATCTTCCAAGCCAGCTTCCAACAAGCAAAGTCAATAGGGGAAGCTGGATTTGCGTAATGTCTGCATGATTCATTTAACAACTCAGTGAATCAATCGTCGCAAAAAAGGTTGTCAAATCGGGTTCAGCGCATTTAAAAAAAACCTTGCTTAGCAATAGCGATGCTGGTGGTCCCAAGTGGTTGTAAGTTGAGGACTTCCTGTATTCCAGGCTTCTTATCACTTTGGCTTTTCAAAAAAAAAAACTGCTTTCACGTACGCACTTTCTTTAGCCTCTTTGCATCCTTTCATGTTGGCCCCAGAACCAGGCCTGGGTCTCTCTTTGAGTTATAAATATCCTGTACTCTGGAGATGCACCGTTCCTTGGAGCAGATCTGTTTACCTTCCAGCTCATCGGGACGGAGAAGTATAGGCAGGATCCAAAACTGTAACACTAGACTAGCGATGCAAATAAAAAACTATCACTTGCCTTACTGACTCAAGGCCAAGTGCTTTTGGTCCAGCATTCTACATCCAATGATGTCCTACCAGTCAAATGCCTCTGGAAGTGAAGTCTCATCAGCTTGGCATGAAGGTCACAGCTCACCCCGGTTTATCCCCAAGTGCTCTGTACTTAGAATTATATTGCTGTGGAATACAGAGATTTCATTCGAGAGCTGCTGTAAAAAGGCCTTTCTGAAATTCACAAATAAAGAATGGTAACATACCAAAGACCTGGGTGGGGGGGGGAGAAGAAGTACAGAAGGATATTGGGAAATTATTCTCCCTCCCTGCAAACTCAGGGAAATGCATGTTGCATTTATTTTATATATTAATTCCTCCTGTGTCCCGAAACAAGAAACCTGAGCAATTATCACAGCCCAAGCAAACCATATTTGTTTGTTATATTTTTGT